GTTCAAGAATGTTTTTCTCTGTCAAAGCAACGCATTCATTTCCAAACCCTTTGGCTTTTCTAGGTTAATTTTAAACATCGTTCTTTTCTGTAGAATGTGATATTGCTTCTCCAGTCACCTAAGAATGAAAATTTGTTGAGGTGAGAAACTCCAGCCTTTTAGAGGTCTACAATAATGTTGCTCCCCAAGTTTTATCCCCCTCATATTAGCTTTCAGTAGACGTGAAACTATTCCATCATATGGAAACGCTGACATCTCTTAATCCTGTTTCTTAGATTGTTATTCAGACATTATCCACAGTGTTAGTTCTTCACTACCACTTAGTGCACCACAAGATGAAACCTTAGGCACTGGAAATTACTAAGGCCCTGGAGAGAAAAGAATCCCTTGAGCAGGATGCACGGCAACAATGTTGCATCATGGGGACCGCATGTAACACTCAGCAAGCCAAGACCAGGAACACAGAGCTCTCAGACACAGGCTTCCCCAGCACTGATATGACCCTCGCCCTGTCCCAGGAAGATAGTCCTAGACGTTTGCTTGTACTCATTTTGCACATAACAACGCTAAGAGGAAGGTACTGCTATCATCCTTGTTTTACCAATAGGGAGGCTCAAGCACAAAAGGTGATCAGTTTGCCCAAGTTCATGTAGGAATGACTGGTGCCAGGAGTTCAGTGTAGAAACATGGCGACCAGCTGGAGTGCACCAGTTTTCTTAGTGTCACTGCAGACATTGAAATCAGGGAATCCATTTTCTCTGTCCTTAAAGACCACCTACAAAAGCCATCATGGGCTTTCCTCAGTTAGTAACTCTTATAGGTCTATCATTGAATCATAGAATAATGGAGTTGTAATGGGCTTTGAGAGATCATCTAACAACAATGTAGAAATAAAAGGCAGACATAGTTCTAAAGATAAAGCAAGGTTAGTTCCTCCTCTATTCATTATTTTTAAAATTTTATATGGCATGAGTAGATTTAGAAGCATAGGGGGGTCTTCTCTCCACTTCCTCTCCTCCTTCCCTATATCCTCCTCTTATTGTTTGGGCAAAAGGTATTAAGATATGATAGTCATTTCTTTCACAATTACAAGCTTAACGTTCTGATATATAAATATATTGTGACTTGGCAAATATAAGAAAATGAAGAAAATAAAGTAACATAACATAAACATATAGTTTAAAATGGAAATTCTGTTACTTAGGGGGTAAAGACAAGTTTGTTTATTTGAAAGGCAGAATTACAAAAAAAAAAAAATGTGGGGGGGGGAGAAAGAGCTCTTCCATTGGCAGCTTGACTCCCCTGTAGCCACAATTGAGCTGGGCCAGTCTGAAGCTAGCAGCAGAAGTTTCTTCCAGGTTTTCACATGGGAACAGGGGCCCAAGTACTTTGGGCCATCTTCCAGTAATTTCCCAGGCCATTGGCAAGGAACAGGATGTGAAGTGGAGCAGCCAGCACTCAAACTGGTACCCATGTGGGATGCCGCCATCACAGACACTATGCCACAATGCCAGCTCCATGTTCTCCTTTCTAAGTACCCACAGCATCTTGTGTTTATTTATGCATCTGGTTATGCACCAATGAAAGAAAAATATTCAGACCTCCAATAGGATTAGTTATTACAGCTGGTGCATACAGCTTGTCCCACTCACCGGATGGTAAGATCCTGATTCTGCTTCTGTTTTGCTCCCTGCTTTATCTTCTGGGCCTGATACTCTGCCTGTACCTGGGGAGGTGCTCAGTACACAATCCACTGACACCCTAATGGACTGATGGACCAGTAACTTACTCACATCAGGCAGACTCTGCCACACTTGCTTCATTACCACCTGTAAGAATGATGCAACATTATCAGATAAGGATTAGGTTGCAGAGCTGACTGACGTGGTCAGGGCCAGTAAGCTCTGGGTCCTTGGGAGACTTGCATAAGCCTTGGAAGTCTCAGCTCTCTCAAGGACTAAGTGAGGCTACTGATAGTGCTTCCCTCGGAGTAGCTGTGAGGAACAAACTGAGGATTCCCCCCACACACAATTAGTTCTTGGATCAGCACATAGAAAATACTGCACAAGAGATCCCTAGGGTTAACGCCTTTGAAAGGTGGCCAGCCTGCTCTGAGCAACACAAGGTAGAGGACCGCCTTTCTGTCCAAAAAAGACCTTATCGCCTCTGCCAATAATCGCACCCAGAAACTCATCACTCTGACTCCAGAAGTGTTTATTACCACATCCGCCCTCTCAACTCTATAGTTAGTTTCATTCAGCTCAGACTCCGTCACAGAGTTTACAATGGTCCTTCAAGATCTGACATCTGCTTAACTTTGAGCTCTACCCCTTCTGCCTTACTCTCATTGTATCCATACATTCTCTCCATGTCATTTCCATTCTTCATGCCATCCCTCCCCCCATGCCGCACCCCGGCCTGGCCTCTGCCCCTGTCCTGTTTGGCCTAAGGTCTCGATTATGCCATCACTTCTACCAGAAGCCCTCTCCCTCCTCACAAGACAGGATTGGTTGTCCTGCTGGAATTTTGATGGTTCAAGCTTGTCATCAGAATACATGTCAAGCAAAATTGTTCACAGCTTACTCCCTTGTCTGTGCCAACACAATACAATGCTGTATCATTTGCCACTATGTCACTCAAGCTTAGTAAGTGCTCTAGAAAGAAATAGTTTTCAAATAAATGGAGAATGAATGAAAGGTAAATTCAGTTTCTGTTTTCAGCATAGCATGTATGTGGGAAAATAGATTCTTCATTGCGCGCGCGCACACACACACAAAGTATTCACTTAGATTAAGATAATTTTCAGGCTTTCTCCTACTAAATGATCATACTCAAACCTTACATTTGATTCAGTACAAGAAAAGCCCTAAACTCGTTCACTAATTTGCTTCCATGACAAAAGCTTTCACATGTTAAAATCTGACTTATTACCGTTAGTTTTTAAGAATAAATATCTAAAGTTGTATATGTGTTGGCTACAGCGTTTTAGAGACATAGTTCACTATTATAGAAGCATTTTCTTGAAAGGCAACGTTTCAAGAAAGTGAGAGAGATCTTCCAGCTACTGGCTCACATCCCACATGGCCACAACAGTCAGGTATAGATGAGTCTGACGCCAGGAACCTATACTTAATCTGGGTCTCATGCAGGTAACAGGGCCTCAGGTCCTTGGACAGTCTTCTGCTGCTTTCCTGGGTGCAATAGCAGGGAGCTTGATCAGAAGTGAAACAGCAAGGACTCAAACCAGTGTTCAGCTGCCAGCAATGTTTTTTGCCTCTCACACCCACAGCACAGTGTGTGTGCTAGGTCAGATGTGAGGAGTTTATGAAAACAGAGCCCAGGAGCTTATGAAGAAAAGACAAGCTTACCATTGTGAGAAGTTCAGTGAACACAAATATATAGAGCATTATGTGCAATCTTGTGAAATACATACACACACACATAGAAATGATCCCTATTTATAGATGAGAGAAACTTTATCGAAGGTGACACAGTTTGCCACAGATGCATGACAGGTAGTGAGAAACCCCGAACAGGGGGCCAGGTCTGTTCTAGTGCAAGTCTGGAATATGGCCCACTGGGTTAAATTGTGTCTTGTGTACATGGCTGTGAGTTGAGAGCCAAGGTAAAGGCCAGGCAGAGGCGGGATATTGTGTCCTTGAGACAGGACAGGCCCTGAAGAGCCCTGCTCATCAGGGCTAGCACCAGGTCACACTCCAGGGCTGGAGGCGTGATGAGGCCTGCAGTCGGATGTCCTATTTCCTGGTGATTGAAGCCCATTGCCAAGGGCCTGCACTGGAGGAGATTGTAGCTTGTCTCCTGTTTGGAAAGGAAGAGCAACCTATTTTCAAAAAGTTTCTCATCTTAATATGTGAACTAAAAAATTAAAAATAACGATTTAGTAAGGCTTGGGAGTTTTGGCTTTTTGCTCTGGTTTTTGCTTTATATCAAATCAAAGAAATCTAGGTCCACATTAAGAAGAGCAAATTAGCATTAAGGGGACCATTAGTTTGTTTACCCAGCATAAAATTATGTCCTCTGTAAACGGGAATATCAAATAGCATAAAAAGCCTGGGTGATTTACATTTTCTTTTTGATTAGAGGATTGCATCCGCTGTACTCAAGGAAGGAAAATCTCTCCCATTTAGCTTTTGAAGATCAAAGCAGCCGTTAAATATACCGTATTACCAGCATTTTTTTTTTCCTTTTTTGGTTAAGACTAGAGGGATGCTTTACAAATTGAGATTGTCTTGGGAAAAAGAGGACTTCATTTGGGGTCAGGTGTACCGACTATAGACTGCTCACTGCCCCCCGGAGGACCCTATGCTTAACTTTCAATTGAAATAGAGTTGCCCTCGCACTCGAAGCACACACTGACCTACCTGCTGGAGTTGTGTGCAAACGTTACCACGAGCCTTTCAGCAAGCCAGTCTCATTCTAAGCTGTGAGGATCTTGCTGTAGTTCATTTGATAAAATCTGCAGCAAGAAAAAGAAGTGAAAAGCAGTCACTGAAAAGAGAAATGAACCTACAGAGCTGTTTTGTCAGGATGAAGTCTGGCTTTCCTCCCAACAGGAGCAGGCCAAGGCAAGTGTTGTCTAGGTGACAATCCAGATAAACAACCGTGTCTGTATACCACCAGCTAAAATGTGAAATACAATTTTATCTTCACCATCTGAAATATTGAGTCATTGTGGGTACGTGTAGTATCTTCTGAGTTACATTGATGTCGTGGGCCTTGCTTTTTTGTTTGTTTTTTGACATTTAGCACTGAACCACCTTCCATTTTTATTTTGAATTTCAAAGAACTTGGGAAATTCATTTTTGCCATTTTGTTTGGGGAACCAACCTAATCTTGAGCAAGGTCTCTAATATGCAGCTATTCAAAGGAGATATATAAGAGGAAGATGAGTATTGGTTTATAATAAAATAATCAAGTGAATATAATTAGTGAACTCATTTTGATTAAGGACTTGCCATTTCTTTTTCTGCTTTGGGCAGCCAACAACCAATGAAAGAGAAATATTCAGACCTCCAATATGACCCAAACTGGAGTAAGAAACAGGAAGAGCAGCAGTTGGCTTTGGGTGGGTTGTCGGTGTCAGCAGAGAGCTTGCTAGAACCCCTGCCTCTGGATCCACTCTACCCTTACAAGGTGACCTCAGTGGAACTCCCAGGAGAGGAAGACGAGCAGGAAAGGACTCTGCAGAGCGCCACCTCGTTACTCGGGAGTGAATTTTTAAGCACAAACTATGAGCACAGCACGCCTAGCAGTGAGCCGTTTTCGGAGCTGAGCGACAGTGACCTGGAGGAGAAGTCAAGCAACCTGTCACAGTACGTGAAGAGTTCAAGTTCACACAATGAGGTTTTCCTGTCGGAATCACGTGGCCGTCGGCGAAAGAAGTCCAAACAATATTTTGTGGAGAAAAACAAGCTGACCCTGGGATTGCCCACTCCTAAAACAGACTCTTATCTTCAACTTCACAATAGAAGAAAGGGAGAAACCCACCTGGAGCAGGTAGGTGGAAGCTGCTTAACAATCTCCTCTGAATTAGAATTCCTCTGGGAATTAGCTGTTGCTTGAGATAGCTGGCTGTCTCTGTCTCTCCCTTTGGGGCAATGATGTCATTGTAACGGCCTGGCATTGTGAATCAGACTGCCCTGGTAGCGTGAGAATGATTCCAGATTCCCAGCAGCAAAGAAAAGCTAACAGTGGTTTTCAGGCCAATGACTGCTGTCATTCAACTGTGGTGTCTCCCAAATTTTTCCACCTCAGAAATTATGGAATTTTTAAACACTGTATATTCCAAGAGATTCAGGGCTGAGTATTCAATTCTCTGTGAAAATTGCCTTTATTTCCATCATAACATTGTTTTTTCAAGACTATTATATCCCCCCTACACATGGAAAGTACCATGACATACATCAGCTACCAATCAGAAGTGATTTTCAATTCAGACTCTGTATACACATTGGGCGATCATGGGTGGTAGACAGACGGCAACACGTGTTTTAAATATTCTTTTTTTAAATGATTCTATTACTTTGGCAAAAGCCATTGATAATTTTGTCACACCATACTTTGACTGTCCTTCTTAAATTATATGATTCCATTAAAACTTGGTCTCTTCGCCTATACAACAGGTGCTGTGGCACATCAGGTGAGCTGCTAGTTGGGATGCCTGCACCCCTATAAGTGAGCCCTCTTCAGATCTACATTTCTAATCCTGCTTTCTGCTAATGAACACTCCCCGAGACAACAGATGATGGCTCCCGTACTTGGGGTCCCTGACACCCACTTGGGAGATCTGGACTGACTTCCTCGCTTTGTCCTAGCCCCGCCTCAGATAGCACAGGCTTTTTGTAGCAGTGAACCAGCAGATGAAAGATATTTCTCTACCTTCTTTCTCCCTCTTTCTGTCTCTGATTCTCTCTCCCTCTCTCTCTCTCTCTCTCTCCCCCCATCCATCTGTCCCCTCAGCCTTTTAAATAAACAAATAAACCTTAAAAAAAAATACTAAAAAAAAATACTAAATGCTCTGGCTTCATCATCTGGTTATTTTGAAGGTAAATTCAGTACCGAATAATTAATGCCAAACTGTTGGAGCCACAAAAGTTCATTCTGTTTCATGGGAACACGTAAAGATTTCATCATCTCACCTCTTGGCAGACACGCCTGTGCACACAATGAAAAGAGGGTGAATTGGTGAATCAGCAGAGTCCACCACCCTCATTGGAGAAGGGCTTGAGATTCATCGCCCACCAATGTGGGGATCCTTTTCAATTAAATGAAAGAGAGATTTATTATGTGTAATGTAGATGCTGCTAATCCTATTTCGGATCCCAGTTGGGATTATTTAAAGTAATCTAACGTACTCCTAAGTATCTCCTGATGGAGAAACATAGATGAAGTGGATGAACATTTGTGGATTTTATAAGAGAGGTTTATTTGATTTTATTTGATAGGCAGAGTTACAGAAAAGAGAGAGAGACTTTCTAAATGCTAGTTTGCTCCTCAAATGGTTGACCAGGGCTGGGCCAGACCAGAACCATGATCCAGAAGCTTCATCCAGATCTTCCCCATGGGTCCAGGGGCCTAAACACTTGAGCCATCTGCCACTGCTTTCCCTGGCCATTAGCAGGGAACTGGATTGAAAGAGAAGCAGCCAGGTCTGGAACTGGTGCCCCTGTGGAACACCGCTGTTGCAGATCGCGGCTCTACCCGCTGTGTCACGATGCTGGCCTCATCTATAGATTTTTTTTTTTTTAATTCAAAGACTTTTTTTTTACAATGTTCTTGGATTATGCGACACCTTTGCCTTTGTAACACATTAAAATAAAGGAACTGGAATCATATATTTAGCTGAAATTCTCAAGCAACTTTCAACATTCTTTACCCAATTTTAGTTTCATCATTATTTCATAAAAGCCACGTGAAATTTTGAATTTTGTTTATTTGCTTGCTCATTTAAAAATATAAAGCCAACAGTCCAATATCCATGAAAAGTATTTAGCTGGTAATTTTTCCTAAACTTGAAAAATACTTTTTTGTTACTTTAAAAATGTTGGGCCCAGCGACATGGCCTAGTGGCTAAAGTCCTCGCCTTGAACGCGCCCCGATCTCTTATGGGTGCCGGTTCTAATCCCAGCAGCCCTAGCTTCCCATCCAGCTCCCTGCTTGTGGCTTGGGAAAGCAGTCGAGGATGACCCAAAGCCTTGGGACCCTGCACCCACATGGGAGACCCAGAAGAGCTCCTGACTCCTGGCTTAGGATTGGCATAGCATCAGCCATTGCAAGCCACTTGGGGAGTGAATCATTGGACAGAAGTTCTTTCTCTCTGCCTTTCCTCCTCTCTGTATATCTGACTTTGCAATAAAAATAAAATAAATCTTTAAAAAAATAAAAATAAAATAAAAAATGTTCTTAGGGCCAGTGTTGTGATACAGTGCCAGCATACCATCTGGGCACTCATTGGAGTCCTGACTGCCCCACTTCCAGGCCAGCTCCCTGCTGACGTGCCTGGGAAAACAAGGAAAGACAGAAGAGAGGGATAAAAATATGTATCATCACTGGCTATTCAGTAGCACGTTACTTAACTCCATGGTGCTATAAATCTTTTTGTTTCTGTTGTTGATTTTGTTTCATGTATTCTCCTTTAAGAGAATGCATAGTAACTATAGTAGAGATTGTCATATCCAGTTGTGAAGATACAATGCAGTACGTATATTTACTGCCAAATCAAAGATGGACTCCCAATGAAATTGCTAAATATATCTTGATCGTAGGATGCTAGATTGTCTGCCATTGTCTGTACCAGCAATGTTAGGACACAATTAAATAACAGATCGATGGACTTATGAAGTATTGTACTATAGTAATAATATGGGGAAAATCAATCTGGGGGAGGGAATAAAAGAAGGGGGTGGGAAAATACCAGAGCCTATGGAATTGTACCATAAAATTTAAAATAAAATAGGAAAAAGCAAACAATGTATCATATTTTCTGTACGCATAAACAATTGTGGAAGGCTATAGAGGTAGTTGATTATAGAAGAAAGAAGGGAAATAAATGGGAACATCTAATTTTATACTTTTTCATATCTCTTACTTTAACAAATAATCTGTGTCTTTAGTTGAAACTCATGTTACAGATAAACAGAGGCAGAGAGAAAAGCATAGACAAGGTCAGACACAGAAGGAATATTCCTTCCTCTTGTTCACTCCCCTAGATATGTACAACAGCCAGGATTTGATCAGTCTAGAGCCAGGAGCCAAGAATTCCATGCAGGTCTCTCATTTAGGTTGCAGGGACCCAACCACCTGAGCCACCTTTACCTCCCGGTGCATTCTTTAGCAGGAAATCATAAAGAAGAACAGAGCTGAGACTCAAACCTGAACACGTCAGCATGCGATGAAAGTGTCCCAAGCCGTGGCTCAACTGCCTCCCCAAACATCCAATTCATAGCTCTTACTTTTGAACTATATGAATGTGTTGCCTTCTTAAAAATTAAATTGGAATCTAGTAGCAAAAAAAAAATAGATCTTGTACAGATAACTGTAATATACGCTGTGTAGTTACCTGTATAACTGATTAATACGTTAACCTAAATTGTACTTTTTTGGTAAATAATGGTTCAAAGTAGAACCATTGCTCTTAAATTCAATTTTTCCATATTTTGGCCATTTTCATAGATCTGTTGAGTGTACATTAAATGTGCTTTGCTTTTTGTTTGTTTTTAACCATTTTTGTTTTTAACCATTTTAGGGATTTTTTCTCTTCTACTCACTTCCCCTCCACCCACTGATTTCTCTATATTCTTGCAATAGAATAGTTCTTCAAAAACAGTCACAAGTCCTGTCAAGACATATTTAACAGTTTCATCGGGAGTCTTCCTTTTATTCAGGAGTAGAAATGCATACTGCAATATATCTTCATTTCTCAATATGATAATCTCTATTACACAGTTCCTCCAAATGAATATTTCCCATGTGCATGTTTGCCTGTGTATCTATTGACCTTATATTTTATATGAAGGTTGCCTTATATCAGAGAAAACATATGATATTTGTCCTTTGGGGATTGGCTTATTTTCACTGAGCATAATGGTCTTTAGCTAGGACCATTCTGTTACAAACAAATGGAACAATTTCATTCTTTTATTAATGGCTGAGGACTTTCCACAGAGCAGATATACCATGGTTTCTTTATTCATTCCTCTTTTGGTGGGCATCCAGGTTTTTCCATGTCTTTGCTATTGTAGATTTGCTGCAGTAAATATAGGATTACAGGTCATTTTTTCATATGCAGATTTAATTTCCTTTAGATATATTGCCAGAAATGGGATAGCTGTGTCATATGGCAGATCAATTTTTCATTGGTTTTAGTACTCTTCATACTAACCTGTACTCCCACCAGTAGTGATGGAGGTTATATTTCTCCCCGCATCCATGCCAGCAGATATTGTTAGTAGAGTTCTGAAGGTAAGCCAATCTTATTAGAGTTGGGTGGAACTTCAGTGTGTTTTTTTTCATTATATTTCCCTGATAGCTAGGGAGCCTGAGCATTTTTTCATATGTCTGTTAGCCATTTCAATTTGTTCTTTCAAAAAATGTCCATTCAATTTTTAAATTTGTTTTGTTTTTTATGTAAATTCAATTTTTCCACAACTTTTTGGCCATTTTTCCAAGATCTGTTGATTGTACATTTAAGTGCACTTTGAATACTTGAACACATCATGTGAGAAGCAAGGAACTGATGTGAAAACCAACACACACTAGAGGGCACCTGAGTATCACAGCACACAGTAACCTTGCTGGGGGACTAAAATTCTGGGCTTTTATTCGCAATTTGTGCGGTAGCCAAAAAGTATTTGTCTCAACTCGTTATAGTTTGGGTCAATTTATGGTCTACCATGAAAGGAAATTGTGTTCTGAAAAATGAATTACCTCTCTCTCTTGCTTCTATTATGACTTTGAAGGTAGATGAAGGTGAAATTTACAATGATTTCAGGAAAAAG